GCACTCGTTCCACAAGACGAGGCTCCACGAGACGACGTAGCTGACGCTGATGCGACAGACGATGAGGCGGGCACCGACTCCGTCAGGAGACGCTGCTGCCACGCGGTGGTAGCTGGCGAGAGCTCCGGAGGAGTCCGCCTGTGCCGCAACGCTCGGAGGCAAGCCTTCACCTCCTCCTTGCACGTTGCCTATAGCAACTGCAAGGACGACAATCGGTCCACAACATCATCATCATCCGATGACGGTGCGACCGATTCCCTTCGTCTTCCGACAAAGAGGACGACGACGACGATGGAGACGGCGACGACGGGCCGGTGTGCGACGCTAGGACGTATTGGTCGTCGTCCTCCCCTTCGGCTCGAAGTCAACGAGCTGCTCTTGGTCCCCTTCCTCTTCCTGGAAGTGGACCTCTCCATATTTTTTCTTTCTCGTCTTTTTTCTGTTCCCCATGATGGCAACTGCCGCAAGGTAGTGCTACCACCGCACAAAGAACTCAACAAACACACGTAACGCCGCTGACGCCATTATGAGACTGTTGTCTCCAGGTTCGCGTGTAAGCAAGTTCCCTTAGGGATGGGCGGTGTGGGTACACACCGGATCAACCTCTGGTGGAGAGGCTGATGTACGGAACATTGAGTCGAGTGTGTGTGTGTGGCAGGTGGGGATCAACCTTGTGTTGAAGCAAGGTTCAGCATCCAACCTGCACTGACTCTATCTGTGGTAACACCCCGAAGGTAGATCTCCGACAGGTCATCTGACGTCACAATCTACGACAGTCTGAGGTGGCATTCAAACATGTCCCATTTTTTCCGGTTGTGGGCCGTTTTACGACTGTGACAGGCTTGGCATTCTTGACACCAAGTACGAACGTCCCGATTCATGGTTGGCCACCAGCATTTTTGGCGGATCTTCTCATAAGTCGGTCTCGACGCAAAGTGGCTTCCAGACAATACGTGGTCGTGATAGGCGTGTAACACGAGTCCTGTCAGGGNAACATGTCCCATTTTTTCCGGTTGTGGGCCGTTTTACGACTGTGACAGGCTTGGCATTCTTGACACCAAGTACGAACGTCCCGATTCATGGTTGGCCACCAGCATTTTTGGCGGATCTTCTCATAAGTCGGTCTCGACGCAAAGTGGCTTCCAGACAATACGTGGTCGTGATAGGCGTGTAACACGAGTCCTGTCAGGGCTTGTGGTAACACTAATCGGTCACTAAACATACTACGCTTACGGAGGTGGCCCGGTAAATACGATTTGAACAGGAACCCATCGCGTATAGAGTAGTACGACATGGAAGTTGTTGTTTCGTTATCGGGTAGACGGGCGTCTTATTTTGTAAGGTAGTCGACATATGTGCCATATTCAAGAGCTTGTTTCTCACGCAAGACATCGCGCTCTGTATCGAGTTAGAATTTCAACCACATCTGGCTCCCC